CAAAGACAGCTTAGTAAACTCCTTAGAGGAAAACTTGGACTCAGGCCCCGGTAGTGTTCTCTTCTTGGAAAAGCTGCGAATAGCTGGAGAGGTGGTAATGCTGTCTCTTTGTGAGGAGAATGCTTTAACCTTGTGTTAACCAGAAGCCTTATTGGCTAAGCACATAGCAATGAAGAAAGAATAAAATCTTTTTTCAATGGCATGGCATAATTTGAAGTATTTTACAAACATGTTGTTTATTCAACATATAAAAGATTTTCATATCTCTTTTATGTTCCTGTGGTTTTATGGGCAGACATGAAAGTAGAAGTCTTTGCCAGAGGATCGGGGGACTCCTTAGCTGGGATAGAGGTTCTGCTGCTATGCCTTAGACATGGGATGCTGGAATTCTGGATTTGTTTGTCAAAGAAAGAGGAATTCAAATTTCTAGAGGATGGGGAAAATGGACCTTTGTAGAAACAGAGAATGTGCTTTGTTAAAGAGTCATGACTCTTATCCTAACAAAGATATTTGCTCTTTTCAATAAAAACAAAGCCAACAAATAAGCAGAGCCATAAGCCAGAGGAAGCAGCTGGCTTATGGCTGTTCATTTCTGAGGAGTTGCCCTAGTGCTCAAAATGGCTAAAGAATAAAAGTCAATATGATCTTTGCAAACACGAAGGGGTCTATGCAAATTCCTTTCTATGTGTTGGCAATTAAAGGTCTGTTCTTAGTGTGTGCTCCAGTTTTAAATATAGAACACTTGCATTGTCATTCATAAAATAGTACCACATAGGATAAAATTCCACTCCATACATGTACCTGTAGTCCCAGTGACTTCCTATAGTCCCAGTGACTTAAGATGTGGAGGCAGTTGGATCGCTTGAGCCCAGAAGGTCAAGAGTGCAGTACCTTATGATTGTGCCTGTGAGTAGACTCTTGTACTCCAGCTTGGGCATCATTGCAAAGACCCCATCTGTAAAAATAAATGATAAATATTCCATTTCTATGCAAATAAGATGTGGACATTTTGGAAAATTTTGAAAATTCCTAGATAGTATGAACTTAAGGGTATGAGAGATCCATTAAGAAAATACAGGATGTATCAGCCAGGTGCCATGGCTCATACTTGTAATCCCAGCACTTTGGGAGGCTGAGACAGGGGTCCTCACTTGAGTCTGGGAGTAGTTCCCTGGCCAACATGGTGAAACGCCATCACTACTAAAAAATACAAAAATTAGTTATGGTGACACATGCCTGTAATCTCAGCTACTCAGGAGGTTGAAGCATGAGAATCACTTGAACCTAGGGGTTGGAGGTTGCAGTGAGCAGAGATGGAGCCACTGCACTCCAGTCTGAGTGAAGGAGCCACTGCACTCCAGTCTGAGTGAAAGAGCAAGACTCCATCTAAAAAAAAGGTAGGGGAGGGATACAAAGGATGCTTGATGTACATGATGTATTATGCTGCTACTTCAAACTCATTTCTGGTTTTGAATATATGTATAGTGAATTTTGACAGATTGAGAAGGTAAATGAGGGAGAAAGGGAAATAACAGCAAAGAAATTCCAACATAGGCAAGATTGGATAGCAGAACATTGGCAGTGGTTTCTTAACGCGAAGTGAGTGAGTGAGTTACTTTGTTTCTTGGATCTGTGGGAAGTGGAGCAAAGTCCTGTTCCATCATGCCCACTGCTTTGGGGCTTTTGCTTTTCTTTGAAAAGGTAAGAAAATAACACTGAGGTATCTTGCTCAATTCTAGTTCCTGTCCAATCACCTGGTTTTTTAAAATTTATTTTTAGATAATTGTACATTACAATGTAGTTGTAAGAAATAATACAGAGAGATCCCGTATATTCTTTAACCAATCTGCCATGGTAGCATCTTGCAAACTTACAGCACAATATCATAACCAGGGTATTGATGTTGATACAATCAAGGTTCAGAACATTTCCATCACCACAAAAATACGTGTGTTGCCTTTTATGATCACCCTCTCCTTAACCCCTGGCAACCAGTAATCTGTGCTCCATTTCTGTAGTTTTCCCATTTGAAAAATGTTAGATAAATTGATTTATGCAGTATATAACTTTTGGGGACTTTCTTTTTTCACTCAGACTAATTCTCTGGAGACTCATTCAGGCCGTGTCTTTCTCTCAATAGTTGGTTACTTTTTATTGCTGGGTAGTATTCTGAAGTTTGGATGTAGCACAGTTTGTTTAACCATTAACCTGTTGAAGGATATCTGGGTGGTTTCCAGTTTTGGCCTACTATATATAAAGCTGCTATAAACAAGTTTTCATTTCTCTAGAGTAAATGCCAAAATGAGCAATTGCTGGGTGATATGGTAGTTGCATGTTTAGCTTTTAAAACTACAAAACTGTTTTCCACAGTAGCTCTACCACTTTACATTCTCACAAGCAATATATGAGTGATCTAGTTTCTTCAAACCCTTGCCAACATTTGGTGTTGTCACTATTTTTCTTTTAGCCATTCTGATAGGTATGTTGTGATGTCTTATGGTAGTTTTAATTTTCTTTTACCTATAGGCTAATAATGTTGTATATGATTTCATATTATCTGTCCTATATATCAGTATCCTCTTCAGTTAAATGTCTGTTCATATATTTTTCCCATTTTTCAACTTAGTTGGTTTATTTGGTTGCATTTTGAGAGTTCCTTATGTTAGACATTAGTTCTTTGTCAGATATTTGGCTTGCAAATATTTTCTCCCAGTTTATATCTTGTATTTATATCTGCTTCACATGGGCAAAATGTTTTAATTTTGTCGAAGTAAAATTTGCCAATTTTTCCTCTTACAGATTGTGTTTTTGATGTCAAGGTTAAGAATGCTTTGCCAGCCCTGATCCCAAAGATTTTCTCCTATTTTTTTTTTTTTATTTTGTAAAATTTTTGTAGACTTACATTTTACATTATGCCACGTTCCATTTTGAGTTTGTTTTTATGTAAAGTGTGAGACTTGCAGACAATAACAGCTCTACTTCTGCCAAACACAACAGGAGAAAACTTTGCCTCACTCCTATCCCCACTATCAAAGGCTGTGCGGGAAACAAGGCAGGGCCTTCTTGAGCACCTACCATATGCTAGGTCCTGGACTTACGATGGTGGAGCGAAAGCTCTCCAGATATTTCTGATCTATGTCAAATGACTGCTATTAAGGTATTTTAGTGTCAAAGAGAAAAGAGATAGATACTGGTCTGCCAGACTCAATTAAAATCTATCCCTTTCTAGCTGCATGACATTGGGCAAATTGCCCCACTACTCTAAGCCTCAGTTTCTTCACTTATAATAAGATGGTTTTGAGGATTAAATTAGATAAAATATGTGAAATGACTGTTGTATAGGGTGTTCAATAAATAATGTCATTCTTCTCCAAACTGATCCATTGCAGCTGCTGGAAAATTAGCACTGGACAGTTGTCAGAAAATAGAAAAAGGCCAACTGTATACAGACAATTCTGAATTTTCTAATGGCTACTTATCTGCTTTATAGATAAACTAGAAACCTTATGTTCCTGCTTCATACCTTGGTGGCCAGTGGTTTGCACAGCTACTGGGTGCTGTTAAATAAAGTAGATAAATGAACATTTTATTCTGATTCAGTTAAAATTTCTGGAAAATTAAAGGACTTAGAAATAGAAACTGATGTGGATGGGAACCAATATTGTTAACATCTGAATTTTAGGTTTATCAAATATCATTAAATTATGGAAAGATATAAAGTACTCATAAAATTAAATTCTGCTGCAAAATATGTAAAGAAATTCTACTTAATGTACCTGAAGGAAAAATTTAGATTGTAGTCAATATACCTAAATTGAGTTCTTGAGACTATTCATGTACACTGTTCATGTCAGGTTTTCTGATTTTTAAACAAGCCCAAGTTTGTTTATTACTTTGAGATCCTTCACTGAGTAGTATAACAATTCAGCTGTCACCTTTACTTTTATTCTCTTGACACTTGCCATTTTGTTCTTTGCCTTTTTTTTTTAACCATCTCCTTTTCCGCTTAGAGAAAAACTATAAAATGCCTACCTCCTCCCTTTTAATTAAAAAAAAAAATTCTACCAGCAGCATCTCCAGAACTATGTCTGGGAATAATCACATAATGTTGGATCTGTCACAGAGATTTTCATACAATTGATTTTAAGCTAAATAAACACCAAAGTCATTTCTGAAATGGTCATAGAAAACACAGAAGAGCAATGTAAGGCTTAGGTGGAAAGTGAGGAAGAGAGTTAAGGCTCGCATGCATATGAATGTTGGGTCATTTATAGTAGCATCCGGTTGAACCATAGCAACCTCCTCCATAACCATTCATCCCCTAAACACTGGACTCTCAAAGCAAGCTCAACGCTCATGCATTTCTTAACCTCCAGAATTGGATTTGTTCCTCATCCATTTATTGTCTTATTTTCTCATTTAGTCAAAACATGTTTTGAAAATAAATAGCTAATTCATATAAAGAAAGTAAATTACTGCTTATTGGCATATGCATTTTAAAGTTGTTTTGTAATGCTTATCCTGTTGAAATTATCTTTTCGACTAGAATAAGCCAATGTTGATACTAGATATAAAATCTGAATAAGTTTGGGGAATTCAATACTTTAATTGATGTTGGTATTTGATACCCCACTAGAGGCACTGCTTCTTGGGGTTATCTGCCTACATGATTCCCATCACATCAGACTATCAGAGCATGGGAAAAACAAAAGAAAAATTACTTTCATAGGACAGAAATTATATTAATTTTTATAAACTGTTAATATAAGAATTGATCTAATAATATAGATTGAGAGTATAATTCTATTGTCTGGCTGACTTAATCACTTTCATATGGTAAGATTGATTGACTTTTGGATATTTGGCATGTATCTTTTCTTTAATTTTTTCCTATTGCTGGCCATACCCAGTAAACTAAATTATAACTCTTTGCTACCATATTTTCATCATATTAAATGCTTGCACTCTCTTCTTTTTTTCTTCCATTTTTACTATCCAAGGGTCCTGTTTCCCAGAGGAACAGTTCATTTCAACAGCCAGGGAGAAAGCCTGGATGCTCAAGGTAAGGTTTATATAAACTATGTTGCATGACTCTTTGCTTAAAAATTAATTTAAAGTGAGTAGTAATATTGTCATTGTAACAAATTTATTTTCAAAATTCCAGTATACAACTAAAGCCAATATTTGAGTAAATACACCATTTTAAAACACTATTTTTCAAACTATATTCCATTTCTCAAGTGTACTATGGGCTAATTAACTACTATTAGAAATTCCTCTAAAAATGGTCAAACCAATTAATTAAAGTTTAATTTTGAAAATCTTATTCATGATAGGTGGGGAGGGTAGAATATCAAGATATGGTCAAAATGAATTAATGACATTGCTATTTATGAATAAATTATTTTTATTTGCTATTAAGAATCCAGAAAGCCACTGTTGGCTTTGAGGACAGAAAGAGAGAGTGAGAGCGTGTGAGCGTGCTTGTGACAGAGATGAGGAACCTAGAAAGCCTCATTTTTTTAGTTTGGGATTTGTCTTTGAGACACAATCATTTTGATCTTCAGTTATTTCCAACTCATACTCTAAGTCTCTCTAAATAATGCCTTCACCAGTCACCTCCAGGAGCCCTTAGAACAAAGGAACAACTAACAAAAATTCCACCAGATGGCAATATTTGGAAAGCCATTCAGAGAGGTCTCAGAGCTACGAGCTATTGTTCACACAGAACAGACTCACAGTGTGGGATAATAGCCTATGTTTTAACAAAGGTGCTCTAAATGTCTTTTATTTTACACCTATTTCTCCACAGCATCAAACATTGTTACTTAAAAACTGTGTGGAGGCGTATGTGTTTTCTTCTTTTTTAAAAAAATTCTGCAGTGATAAAATTAGAAACCTCATTCTTAAATAGTAATTCTCCAAACAGTAATGGTGAATGTTAAAAGATCAAATCAATGAATAATATACCATATTTATTTTAGGGTCTCATTGTAATAAATGCTGTGACTGGTGGTCATTTTTTAAATATTCAAGAAGAGAAACTGAAATTCTTCTAAAGAGGAATAGCATTCTAAGAATTTGTCTTGATATTAAAATTTGCAGGTATAAAATTTATTGTATTGACTTGAAATAATTAGTTTATTTAATGTGGATGAACAGATGTTTTCCCCTGTTGCTCTAGTGAATGTGGAAATATGGAGAACTTTTGTAGACTGAGGTGGGCAGATCCCCTGAGGTCAGGAGTTCAAGACCACCCTGGCCAACATGACAAAACCCTGTCTCTACTAAAAATACAAAAATTAGCTGGGATTTGTGGCACATGCCTGTAATCCCAGCTATTCAGGTGGCTGAGGCACAAGAATCACTTGAACCCAGGAGGCAGAGGTTGCAGTGAGCCAAGATCTTACCACTACACTCCAGCTTGGGTGACAGAGTGAAAAAAAAAAAAAGTGGAGATATGGTACCCTGCATGGTGTCCCAACAGCTGGAATATTTGGGGGCCAGAGCAGGCTCTAAAGCAGAATAGGGACAGGGGTCAATGGAACAGTATCTGGGGGCATTAGAAACAAGAAGAACCAGAAAGAGAAGCCACCTAAGCTTTCTTTGTCTATAGCAGCAGATCATGAGTGCCCTTTGAAAACTGATCTGTACCGTTAGCCCTTCTAGTAGATGGTCTATATGTCAGGTCTGTCTGGGACAGTCCTGGTTCAATTCTGTTGTCTTGGATTATAGTTAGGACCCCCTTTCACCCTCAAAATATTTCATTTTAGATGATAAATTATATGATCATCCTATCTTCCAGGCTGGGGTATTTGAAGAAAAAATAACAGAAAAGATGGCCCATTACCTAAATAAGGTGTTGCTTTATAAATCTCCTTGTATAGAGGGGTATGGGACAAATGTGTCTTTGAAGAGTCAAAGTGTAAATATTTTTTGCCTTGCTGGCCATACAAGTTTCAGTCACAACTGTTCAACTCATTGCAGTGTGAAACAGCCAAAGATCATGCATAAAGAAATGGGCTTGGCTGTGTTCAGTAAAGCTATTTACAAAAACAGGCAGTGGACTACACTTGGCCTGTGGGCCGTCATTTGCACATCCCTGTTAGATAACAGAGACGGGTTAAGGTGGTAGGAGATGGCAGAGAACCAAGGAGATAACCATCATTAGTCCCTCTCCCTTCTCTCTAGATCCCTTCTGGGTTGCACCATCCTTTATTTAGCTCTTTCAGAAACTAGTACAGTTGACCCTTGAACAACATGGGTTTGAACTGCAAGGACTTACTTTTAAATGAATTTTTTTTCAATAAATGCAGTCAAACTTCCATATCCATGGATTCCACATCCGCAATCAAATGTGAACTGAAAATACAGTATTCATGTTATGTGAAACCCAGGGATAGTTCAGTGGGACTTGAGCATGAATGGCTTCTTATGGGGCAAGGAAGGTTCTGAATCCAATCTCCAAGTAAAAGCTGTATTGATCTTTTCCTTGAGTGAGTAATCCTATCTGCTATTAAGTGGTTCCTGAGATTCCTTTACTGGGTGTAACTTCTTGTTTCTCATCCAAATCTGTTTCTGTACCACACATAACATGCTTGTACTTTATACCTCATGACATATAATTGAGATGTCACCTGAGTTCTAGAGTCAAATACTGAGGCAATAGCTCATTAGTAGGTAATTTAATTTTATGCTTTGAACCTCACTAAACAGTTGTCTTTGAGAAATATAATCAGTCAGTCACATTAAGGAAAAGTTTATGTTGACTATACCAATTTTTTATTATATTAATGAAAAGTAACATACATTTAAAGAAAATCCTGGGTAAAAGTCACTCATAACAATACCATCCTAAAATAACTGTTTTCCTATTTTTGCTCATTTGGTCTTCTCACAGGCATTTCTATTATTCCACAATGCATATCATAATGAGTGTGAACTTTGTATTTTACTTAGCATGAGTCACAGCATCTTTTACTTTCATGGGTCATCAGAACTATCATTACAATAGCAATATAATGTTATGTCAGCATGCCAAAGTATATATTTTATTTCTTACTATCTTCCCATTTTTCAATATAAAAGAAATGCTATGCTAAATTTTTCTATAGATCTTATTGGTTTAGTTTGTGTCTATTGATCTATTTTCTAAGGTCAAAACCCCAGAAGTGGGGTTATTTGTCAAAGATAGACCATTTTTATGACTTTTAATCTAGTTTACTATATTTTCCCCAAAGATTTGGAATAATTTACAAACATTTGTAGTTTTAGGATACTAGTTTCACCACAACATTTTCTGAGAGCATTTAACTTAATAGTATTTACTGAATGACTGCGAACTGTAAAACACTGTGCTGAGTGTTTTGGGGTATATGTGTGTGAGTATATATATATATATATATATATATGTGAATATATATATATATTCACATATATATGACTGATGTGCTCATATATATACATATATATATGTATATATATGAATGATGTGCTTATTCTACATTTATTTTGTGCCCACTATCAGCTAGGTATTGTAATTTTTCAATGAAGAACAAGAGATAGCTTCTATCTCAAAGCATTTGACTTTCGTGGGTAATGTAAATGATGGTAATATAGAAAATGAGATGCACCATAGGAGAAACACAGTTACAATATAATGGGAGTTTGGGGAGGGGGAGGTAGAGATGACATCTGAGCTGAGCCATGAAGGTCAGTTGGTTTGGAATACTCAGGGATGGTGAGATTGGCCATTTATTACATAAACATGTATTGATCACTAACTCTGTGCCAAGTTTCATGGTAAAAGCTAGGGATATAGCGGTGACCAAGGCAGAGCTCTTAGAGCGGAGTAGAGAATCTTTAAAAAAATATATTATAAAGGTGATAACCAGGCTAGCTTGTCTGGCAGAGGATACCCAGGATTAGGGATGAACACAGGTTTCCTCTAGAACAAAACTTTTCATGGCTTCCCTTTTGAAAGACAGCCTTGATCATAAGTTACTGTGTCAGAATCTGTAGGAGGTCTGCTTCTGGAAGTTTGAAGGTTCTTGTAATTGCACTTGTACTGACCAACATTCCAATTAAAGTTGGCCTGCATTGACAGTCCCCCACAGTGAGTACATTTACTGAGAATGCACAGAGGCTAGGCCTGGGACTGGGGAGACCTACAACCTGGCCCTCACCAGATGATGATGGAAGCAAATTACCAAGAATTGTAGATTTCGTTCGTGTTTTCTCTTTAAAACAGCTGGAAGAAACCTCATTGATAATCTAATCCAATCTCTCATTTTACAGATGAATATTCTTGAGTGAGGAAAGTTTGAATGACTTTTCTAGAATTAGGCAGTGGCATTACCATAGCACCAGAACCTTCACTTCTGATTCTTCTTGGCTGTGGTCACTGCTTTAATTTGTCCCTGCCTTATCTGTACCATAGAGGTAGGAAGAATCAGGACTAGATTAACCTAAATTCGAATTAGGACTAGATTAACCTAGATTAACCCTAGTATATATAAAAGCAATAAGATAAATTTTACCTATCTCATACCACAGTACAAATTTTTTAATTTATGATTTTTAATTAAAATTTTAATTTAAACCAGGCATGGTAGGTCATGCCTGTAATCCCAACACTTTTGCAGGCTGACTCTGGAGGATCACTTGAAGCCAGGGGTTCAAGACCAGCCTGAGAAATATAGAGAGACCTTATAGCTGCAAAAAATAAAAGTAAATAGTCAGTGTGGTGGCACATGTCTGTAGTTGCAGCTATTCAGGAGGCTAAGGCAGGCAGATCCCTTGAACCCAAGAGTTCAAGGCTATAAGGCTATAGTGAGCCATGATCATACCACTGCACACCACCTTATGAGCTGGACAAACAGCTTGATCTCACTAAGCTTCCCTCTCATCTTCAAAGTAGAGACATGATAATATATCTTGTTTGTTGTGAGAATAATTAGAGGTAATATACTTGTTGGTTACATCATGGACACTTCAGCAAATAATGAAATACTGATTTTCTTTCCCCTTCCCTCCTAGAGCTACAGGTTCTTCATGGGATTCTTTTTATTAATCAGTTTGCCTTATAAGACTTCTGAGAATTAAATGATAGAATGAGGGTACATTTATAAACTGTGGTGTAGAGCTTAACGTTCTCATTTCTGAATTTTACTTAACTAAGCTGAAGTATAGAGGTTTAGAGGATTTTCTTCATGGTTTCTTTTACTCCTTTTCTTCAGTAGCTTATCTTACATGTTCTGTGAACGTGTTGGTAAGACTTAAGAATTCACTCATTTTCTCTGTGTTTTGCCTTAAAGTAATATATCAAATAAATATAGAGAGGTAGATGATTAGACAAAGAAAATATGGCTAAATGTTAATAATTGCTGAATGTATCTAGTGGATATGAATGTCTATTATACTATTATAAAATGTTGGTCAACTTTTCTGGATGTTTGAAATGTCTCAAGTAAAATTTTTTTAAAGAATTATGTATCAAGTATTAATTAGGCTTCTACCATGGCTCCATCACTGTTTGGAGACAGAGGGTAGATTTTGTGTGTGACAGTCAGGGTTTTCAGCCCTGATGCAACTATGACCCACTGTAGGGAATGTTAATGAAATAGGCAGTGCCATTCCAGAGTGCTGAGTGCTGTGGTGGGAGAAGTAAGGGATGCCATGAAGTACAGTCCTCGGCAGCAACAACTGAGCCGGAACTGGTGTGCGGAAGTCAAGCAAGGCTTCCAAGTTCAGTGGCATCCTATCTGAGGCCCAGAGGAAAAGGGAGAGCTAGCCAAGTGCTGCGGAGCGGGGGACTCCAGAGAAAGGGGAATTGTTTGGGCAGAAAGAGTAGCAGCTTCAAAGATCGGTGGTTGGGGGGGTGGGAATAAGAGAAGCATTTGACGTATTAATGAAATTGAAAGAAATTCAGTAATGAGCTGCAGCATTGAGGGAATAGTGAGGGGTAGGGCTAGACAGACAGACAGATCAGGCAGGGCCCTTCGAGGCTAATGAAGAACTCGGGGTTGTATCCTAAGAGATGTCGAAGTCCTTCAAGCAGAGAAATAAAACTACCTGTTTTATATCTTAGAATGGTCACTCTGATGGCTGTGTAAAGAAAAGATCAGGAAGGGAGATGATTAAAAAGCAGAGAGACAAGGTGGACGATGATTAGCATCTGGCTATAGTGGTGACAGCTGGGGTACAGGTTAATGGGTGGATTTGAGTACAATTTAGGTGGCAAAAAAAGGGCAAAAACCACAGTTACTTTCGCACCAATCTAATAGAAAGGATTGGGTAAGGAAGACGTCAAGGAGTCATTTATTAATCCAGCAAATGCGTATTGAGTTCCTGCTGTGTGTTAAATGCCATTTCAGTGCTGTGAAGAAAAGTAAAGAAAGGGTGACAGGAATACAGCCTGAGGAGGTGCTATTATTTATAGGGGGAAGTAATGGAGAGGGATTATTTAGAGGAGAATATGTTGATCTTTAAGGACCCTCTTAAGGGATGGCGACATGAGAAGCAGTCTCCTAAAAACTTTGTGGTTCAGTGGGCTCCCTGGGAGCACCACCAGTAGCAGTGCTGTGGTTAGCAGAAGATAATGCCCAGTGTCTGGCATGAGTAAGTGGGGGCTTTAGCGATGTTATGTACTGAGACAGGACATATTGTAAATGTGAGGACAAGAATCAGAAGCTCAGTATTGCCCATGTTGAGCTTAGGGTGCCCGTGACATTAAAAAATATATAGACATAGATATCTTTATATATATATATATATATATATATATATATATATATATACACACACATATATACATATATATGTGTATATGTGTGTGTGTGTGTGTGTGTGTATATATATATGGATTTGACACCTGAACCCTAGAAGAGAAAGAAATGAATGATAGCTTTGAGAGTCATTAGCATGTAAGCTGTAAGCCATAAATACAGATAAAATTGTCTAAGGAGAGTATAAAATGAGAAAGAGAGTCCAGAGTAGAACCTTGAAAATCACCAATATTTACAATGTAGATTAAGAAAAAGAGAGAGTAAATCCACGTTCACAGCAGCAGCATTCACAGTCACCAAAAGGTGGAAACATTCCAAGTGTCCATTGGGAGATGAATGGATAAACAAGATGTAGTATATACATACAATGGAATATTGTTTAGCCACAGATAGGAAATTCTGACTCATGCTACAGCATGGGTGAATCTTTAGGCTAATGTGTTAAGTGAAATACACCAGTCACTAAAAGACAAATACTGTATGATTCCACTTATGTAAGCTATCTAGAGTAGTCAAATTCGTGGAGACAGAAAGTGGAATAGTGGTTGCCAGAGGCTGAGGAGAGGAGGAAATGGAGAGTTAGTGTTTAATGGGTACAGAGTTTCAGTTTAGGGGAATGGAAACATTCTGGAGATGGATGGTGGTGACGGTTGACAAGAATGTTAATATATGAAATGCCATCAAACCGTACACTTAAAAATAGTTAATTGGTAAAAAATTTTGTTATATGCATTTTGCCACAATTTGAAAGAGAGAGAGAGAGATGAAGATTAGCCAGAAACACCAGAGAAAGACCAGTTGAGTATGCTATAATGGAAGCCAAGGGAAAATAGCATTTTAAGAATGAGCAGGATTGTCAAGTCCAAATGACTTGACATTCTAGCTGTTTGAAACTATATGTTATTGTCAACAATAGTCAACCTACACTGGTACAGAACACTAAAACATTTCTTTCCTATCTAGCTGTAATTTTGTATTCTTTAACAAATCTCTCCCTACCCTTTCCTTCCCCCTACCCTTCCAAGCCTCTAATATCCTCTCCTCTACTTTTTTATCAACTTCTGTTTAATAATAGCTTTCACGTATGAATGAGAATATGCAGTGTTCAACTTGCTGTTCCTGACTTACCTCACTTAATGTAATGACTTCAGCTCCATCCATGTTGCTGCGAAAGACAGAATTTTGTTCTTTTTCTTGGCATTTGTGCATATACATTTTCTTTGTTCATTTATCTGTTATTGTACACCTAGGTTGATTTAATATCTTGACTACTGTAAACAATGCCACAATAAACATAGGGGTGTAGATGTCTTTTTGACATAAAGATAATGATTTACTTTCTGATTTAACTATACTAGGGCTTTGAGAAAGCAGGAGGCAAGAGGGGAGAACATAGCCCTTTACTGCAACAAGCAAGAATCTGAATGAGATGGCTGTCCTTCAGGTACCTATGTAGGTTTGGGGACAGAAAACTTAAGTTCTGATCTAATGGCTTGAATACTTTCTGTAAACTCAGATGCAGGGCTGTCTGCTAAGGGAGGAAAAGGTGGTGAAGTCAGAGATAAAATGAAACTGAAAAAATATTGAAACATCTGGTTTATGAATAATGGCAGAACCCAAACTAGGGAAACGGAAGGGTGACTTAGGAGCATTGAGACCGCTGCATTTGAAGGCCATCAGTTTATAGTTGTGCCGGTCTCCTAGGCAGGGTGACTTTTTTTTTTCAGGTCTCAGCAGTCCATATGAGGCATATGTGCCTGGCAGATAAAGATCGTATAAAAGCTTTTTTGGGGGGAAACATGAAAATGGATCATTAGAGTGATAACATTTATTTTTAAATGGACTAATGCTTTATTTCTTTCTCTTTAAAATGTTATAAGAGCCAAATGACTGGGTTATGAGTTGCAAATTGTTTGATTTATAATGAGTTTGTTATTGGTACAGGGATTGTAACTAACTCTCCAGGGCCCTCTGTTGACTGCAGAGATGATTGGGTACCAAACTTATCAATTGATAATCTATCAGAGTGAAACTTTGAGCAACTTACTGAGTAGTTTGAGGGTGTTACATGCCCCCTCACAAACTTGTATTCCCTTTCAAGGGTGCTGTGGCCCCAGGGACAAGCACTGTACTGCCTGTGGAAATAAATCTGCTGTCTACTTAGTGCACCTATACCAAGTTGTACATTGCCATAGATTTTTTTGCCTTTTGCATAGAGTACCGGAATCTAGTTAAGTAATGTTCATTTTTGCTATCAAAAATGTCACTAAAATCACTCTGAGATTGACATGTCTTATCAACATTTTCTCTACAAGTAGGCTGTGGTATGTGGAAAGAATGCTACTGATGTCTCATAGGCCAATGCCTGGAATGCCTGTATATATTGAGACCCCCGCCCCATCAAGAAATGTGTTTCTTCTACCCCACTTCACTTTTTGACTTGACTTTCCTGGTCAGAGAGTCACTAAAACTGACAAGTCCTG